TCCATTAATATTTCCTTGATGAATTTGAATGCTAAGGCATTTGGAATGTCTAAGTTTATTACTGATATTGGTTTGTTGTCTATGGTTCCTTTCAGCACCTTGTTTATCCCTTTTTATTATCCAAATGTTTGTTTTTGCTTTGTCAGATAACATAATTGCATTTCCTGATTTTTTTTGGACTCACTTGATGCACAGTAAATTTCTATTCATCCCTTCAGTTTTATTTTGTGTATGTTTTTGAAATGTGTTTCTTGTAAGCAACAGATTGTAGGGTTTTATTTTCCCATCCAATCTATAACTCTTTCCTATTTTACTGGATTTTTTAATCCATTCATATTTAAAGTTATGTTAGGTTTATATTTTCCTCCATCTGTCTTTTTTTTATGTTATGATTTTTTTCTCTTTTCTTCTATATAAACATAGTATATTCCTTCAGTTACTTTAATAATTTTTTTAAAGGTGGCCCTTTTCCCATTGGCTCTCTTCCTCTCACCCCCTTTTCTCATTTGCTACCCATTTCCCTTGGGGTTTTGTTTGTTAGTTTCTTTTTCTCTCCCGTTTATATCTGGTTGTGTAATTCTCCCCTCCCCACCTTTTTCCTTTCAGATAACCCCTTCTCCTCCCCCTTATCTAGTCCTCTTCATTAGTTTAAAAAAAATTTTTTTTTGGTGTTCCTTTCCAAAAAGGTTTTCTCTCAACTCTCTTCATTATCCACCTTTTCTTTCTGTTTACTCTGAGCTTATTCTCTAATTCATGACCCCTATCATTATCTGGTCTCTCTCTTTTCTCTATAATCCTCATGTAAATCAAAGCTTCCAAGGTATCATTCTAAGCTCTCCCCTCTAGAAGCTTTCTGCTACTGACTTTTAGAGTTTGCCCCATGGATTCCTCTTTTCCATTGTGTCTCATTCCCAGAACAATGCCAATTATTACAGATGTCATAGAGGACACTGCCCCCATGGTAGGGCTCCCTTATCACCACCGTCCTGATTATGTAGCCCACTACTGATCTACATCCTCCCCCTGGTTACCTTCATTTCCCACCCCACATTTGTCTAAAAATCTCCTTCTTGGGTCCATGCTCTCCTACTTCCCCAGGTTCCAGTTGCCCCCCAGGGACTCTAACTCCCTCCTTCCCACTGTAGGATAAGTAGACTTTCCAAATACCAAATCCCCCAGGCTCACCCAGTATAAGGTCCTTATCTCTTTTCACAGACCATCTCTCTTCACTCACAGAAGCATTCACCAGTAGAACCTCCTCTCACCACCAAATAAGGTCTTCTTCCCTTCTCCCCATTTTCACAGCCCCCACACCTACTCCCTTCTAGACTGTTCTCTGAGACCACAGAGGACCACCTCTCATTGGATAGCCTTTAATTTGACCTCAGTACATCACATGGTCCTCTCTATCTCCCTGCTCCCCTCCCTCCCTTCATGTACCTTCCCATGTTGTATCATTGACCTGTAGTCAGGATGTTATCAGGTTCAATCCATAATGCCCTGTCTTCTCTTCACTGTTATCTCTATGAGAGTTCTGACTTTTCACCCCTGTCTCCTTGCATACTTTTTTTTTTTAACGAAGCATTTGGGGTTAAGTGACTTTCCCAGGATTACACAGCTAGCAAGCGTCAAGTGTCTGAGTTCATATTTGAACTCAGGTCCTCCTGATTCTAGGGCAGTGTTCTCTCTACTGCACCACCAGTTACCCCGCTTGTATACATTTAGAAAGAAATCTCTAACTGGTTTCTGTTGTCACACTGTTGCTGTTGTCCTTGCCTTTTGCATTTATTCACTCTTTCTGCATTTCTTTTGTTTGGGGGTATTCACGAAGCAAATAATTTCACCAGTTCTGGTTTTCTTTCTAAAAATGTTTCAAACTCTTCTTTATTATTGAATATCTATTTTTCATCCTATATGGTTATAAGCTCAGATTTGCAGGATAGCTCAACCTGGGCTGCATCCTTAATTCTACTACTCTTTGGAAAACATTCTATTCTTTCCTTCATTTTCTAGTGATACATCATAGTCTTATATTATTTGAATATCCTTTCTTTTGTATTTAACACTCTTTCTCTTGATCTCTTGCAGAACTTGTTGTTTCTGAATTGAATTATTAAATTTAACTAACTCTATGTTTTGGAGTTTGCAGTCTTTTGTTTGTTTGTTTGTTTGTTTTCCTGGAGGCAATCTGTGAATTCTTTCAATTGAAATTTTCTTTTCCATGTTCAGAAGTTCTGGGCAATTCTCTTCTGTTAATTTCTTCGTTATGATTCATTTGTCCTGTCCTGTTCTTCTGGGATACCTATGATCCTTCATTTGTTTCTGTGTATCCCGTCTACAAGATTATTATGTTTTGCTTGTGTAATGACCATATTTTCACTGAAAATTTTTTTTCCTTCTCTTCTTCTAGATTGTTTTTTACTTCTGTTATTTGCATTCCCAATCTGTTGTTCTCTCATGTGTTTATTTGGTGAGACTGCCATGGCAGATTCCAGTTTTTCTATCCTGTTCATTATTTTTGCTGAGTATCCATAAATTCAGCTCCCATAATCCCCATTTCTCTTTTAAATCACTCAAGGACAGCATGTTGTGGTCCCATGTTGTCTTCAAATTCTATGGGGTCTCATATCTCTGTCTCAACAAGTTGGATCATTTCTCTTTGTTTTTCAGTATTTATTCATAGATGCCTTAACTAGTTTACTAGATCTGGAGGCAATATTTCCTTCTGTTATTGTTTTTCCTATTGATTTATCTGTTTATGTTCAAGGTCTTTGGGTTTTGTTCTTTCTGAAACCTTTGATAATTTCAGTCTTTTCCTCCCCTTATTTTCTCCACCGTATTCTTTCTGACTTCCTTGCATCTAATTGTAATTTCCTTGGAGGATAGATCTCAAAGCATCTCAGCCTCTTCCCATGCTGGGCAATTCATAGTTCACCAGCCTAGGTCTCTGCCCCACATGACTTTTGGGTTGTAAAAACTGGCCATAGCTGGATGCTGTAGTCTTTCTCTCAGGCTTAGTGAAGTACGGCCCAGTACCCTTTCCTCCCCTGACATATAGTATAACCTGTCCTGACCTGTCCCACTCCTCCTCTTCCTCAGTTCTCTGCTCAGAAGTGGCAGTTCAGAGCTTTGTACCACTGGTGCTCCAAGGCTGTGGCCCTGGATGGACTTTTGCTCCTGAGGAACTGTAACTGCCTGGCTTTCTTTTGTAGCCTGGGCAAATCTCTACAGCCTAGAGCTGGGATCTCCACAACACTGAAAAGAGGGAGGGCAGGACTGGAATATAGGAGTATTTTTCATTGTAAGCCTGTGTCAGGTTCTTGGGTCTGCTAGTGCAGTCTCATTGCTGATAGCAAGGGGTTGGGGAGGGGTGCTCAGTGAGCGCAGGATCAGTAGGCATCAGTTTATAGATTTTTTTTGGTTGCTTTACCTTTTTTTGGAGGGAGATTGTGGATGTCTTAGACCAAGGAGATAGCTGAAGTCACTATTATGAACGCATACAATTTCTGCCTTGGAAAGATGTGAGAGGTCATGGGGATCAGAAAAAATGTCTAAGTCATCATCCTATTGCTATGACTGGCAGTTCCAGAACTCATTCCCTTTTGTGTATTTTTATTTTATTCTAATTTGCATAACTTCTCCATTTTCTATTTGCTTAGATAAATGGGTTTGCTTTGTATTCATTATTTGTGATCATCTTTTCTATGGCCAGTCTTTGGTGGAAAGGGGCCACGCTGGTGACTACAAGTTTGAGGCTACCCTCTCCTCTTGTGAGTGAACAGAGAAGAAGCTTTTCTTCTGAATCCACTGAATCCCTAGACTAGCAATATCTGAGGCGGGTAGCTTAGTGTGATACCTTCTCAAAGAGAGATGAGGTGAGGTAGCAAGTGCCCAGTCATGGCCTTTCTGCTCTCATAAAGGCAGGAAATCATTGTTTCCCTTGGAGAGGATAGTTTAGATTCTAGAGATACCTATCTATGCAAGCTGTGAACCTCCTGTCTATACATTCAGACAACCCATATGGATATACATAGCTTACATGGGCATACCTATCATGCACATCTATACATCTAGATATATATGTATACGCTTAAAAATTGGCTTGAATAGCCTTGGGAGGAAATACACATATTTCTTGACAAAAACAGGGAAGTTGGGAAGAGTGTTGTGTTTTGTTTTGGATATGAGTTTGACATGCCTGTGGGGGTCATCTTAGTTGGAATGCTGTTGGGGGAAAAAAGTGAGTAGAATCAGATAAAGATCTGAGTGTCATCTACCTAGAGATGATAATTGAACCCAAGTCAGCTGATGTCACCATGAGAGAGTGTAAAGGAAAAAGAAGGCCCAGAATAGAACCTTGGCATGTACCCACATCGAAGGTGTGTCCTAAGCTCCAGGGCTCTTTTCACTACTCCTTTCCAACCTTTCCTATTTCAAAAAGAAAACAAACCAAAAACCAATGTGGTGACAGTGACAGAGATTTACACAGTGTTTGGAATGGGAAAGAAGATTCATGAAAGACACAGACTCATTTTGATTTTTGCATTAAACATGCCTTGCCTGTTCTAAAACCAGACGGTAATGGTAGCTGAGAATGATCTCTTACCCAGAATTAGATTAAGATCTTCATTTTCCTAAATTTGAGCTGCAGGTATAAAGGGGAACATGAATACATGGGATTTTCCATGAAAAAATCTATCTTTTCACAGACTTGGCTTCTAGGTTTTTTGTATAGAAATGAATGAAAAACAACTGGTTTTTCCCCCAGGTGATAATTATGAAAATCTGCTAGTGGAGGGAGTGGAGCATTCACAGGTAGAATGAAAAATGCTGTTTCATTTTTGTCTGTCTGCGGTGTGTAGCACCATACCTTACACACGTAGTAGGCACTCAGTCAATGCAGATGAATCAGTCGTATAGAATCGAATCTATATTTCACAACTGAGATCTTACACGCTAAGATTGCTAATAAGGAAGAAAAAAAAACACCAATTGCCAGATGGTGTTGCCTACCAAACCTTCTGTTTATTATAATTCAGTTTCCTTCTAACTCAGTGGTTCCTGTTATTTGCAAACCACACCGGACAATACTAGGCACCTAGATAAACATAGCACAGCATTTTTGAGAGGTGAGGTTCACACAGCAAACAGAAAGCCAATGTTTATGATCTAACCCAGACAATCAAGGCCTGAAATGGTCAGCCTTCTTTCCTTCACTTCAGAGTCATGGTCTTGTGGCCTAGGGTCAGGTCCACTCATGCCACTCGAAGAGTGGCCTCACAGTCTCCCAAAAGCAGCATCAGGTCTTCTACCAGGCTGTGGTCTCTGCCGTGTGTCATTTTCATAAGCTCAAAAGCCTGAATGAAAAAAATAGACAGATTGCTTAGTACTTTTACCTCTTTCTTCTTCTTAACCTGTGCTTTGGGGATTAAAGCACAGAATTCAAAGAGTTTTAAAGCTAGAAATATAACCTTAGCAGGTAGTCCAACCTCATCATTTTAAAATAGAAACTGAGGCCTAGAAGGAAGAAATGTCTTGCTCCGTGAAACTATAATAATAATGATAGTGAGCCTGAGAGAGGTGAAGTCATTTGTGGTATAAAAACTGCTCTCAGGATAGATTAGACCCCAGAAAGAAAATATACTCTGGTGTAAGTAACAATGGGGGATCAACCAACAATCATACATAAGAGTTTGATAAATGTTTCCTGATTGATTAAATCAAGCAACAAGCATTTATTAAACACCTACTAGGTACCAGACCCAGGGGATACAAGTACCAAGGAGGAAACAATCCATTCTCCTAATGAGCTCACATTCTAATGGGAAGAGACAAGTACATATAAAAATATATACGTACAAGATACAGTAAATACATATGGCATAAATGTAATATGAATAAAGACAAATCTATACAAAGTAATTAAAGACAAGGTGGTTTGGGAGGGAAGGGACTAATAGAAGAAGGGGGAATCAGGAAGAGTTCCAAGCAGGAGATGGTGACTGTGATGCATCTTAAAGAAAGGCAGGGAGACAGGAATTGGGTCTCTTGTATGGAATAGAAAACAGACCAAAAGTGAAAGGTCGAAGCTTTCTTTTAAGTCTTAAAAAAAAAAAACCCTTTAAAAAGAACCAGAGATATGTGTTTCCAGCCCCCAACCATGGGGTCATCCCCCCTTCTAATTTTCCTATACAGCACTTGCTCAGGCCCTTAATTTGCTCTGAAATTGTGCTGCTTCCTGCCTTTGGAAAATCATTTTACCTGAGCTGCGGGGAGGGGCTGGGATACCCAGGCATTGAGGTGGCTGGTCCATCCCATTTATGTGGTCCCCATCACTTACTGCCTCTAGACCCAAAGAACTGACCTAATTATGAAAAACTGCTGTAATCACCCAGCCACAATATGGGGACACAGGGTCATTTTCATCAGGCACCCTCTAGAAAGGGAAGCCCAGTAGGCAGCTGATGTGTAAAGATGCCAAGATGAATTGCAAATGAGAGTAGAGGACAGACAGTCCAGACAGACTTACATTTGCTATTCTTGGCCGGGGCCTTTGTGTCTACTGTCTGGGTTGGGCATCCCGTGATGCCTGGCCTCCTCTGGGGAAGACACAGGGAACCTCTGCCCCCTGTCCAGCCAGCATTGCTTTTTTAGTTTTCCTTATGGTCTGCTGATTAAAAATGAATTTTTGATTTGATTGTGGCACTGGAGAAAGCCTAGCTTGGTCTCATTCTCATCCCACTGCATTGGCTCCAGCTCGTGATTCACAGTTGGGGTGTCTTATGGTCTGAAGCAGAAATCCACATGATTACACAGAGGAGCTTTCAAGTCACTTCATAGGAAAGAAATTCTCTTGGTTGAAAAGGGGCTTAGATGTTCTCTTCGCTTTGACTCAGAAGGGAAGTGCTAGCAATCTGATGAGATCTAGGAGAAAGGATGGAAGTGGGCAGCAGCAGTTTAACACTGGCCTAGGGGATGAACTGGATTAACAAGAAATTCTTAGAGAAGAAAGGCTAGCCTAATTTGCAAAAGATTTTCCTTTTTTGGGCTTTATTGAGACACACCTGTGTTGGGAGCACAGCAGTGTGTGTGTGTGTGTGTGTGTGTGTGGTGGGGGGGAGGGGGCAGATTTCCTAACTGCTATTATTCTACTCCAGTTTGTCTGAATTGTCAAAATTTTCCTCATGGCACTAATTGATTTGGGCTTCCCAGGCTATAGTAGTATGTCGCACCTAAAGTGATTTTCCTAAGGCTCCAATCATGTCACACACAAATCCTACTCAATTAACTTCAATGGCTCCCCTATTACCTCCAAGATCATATACCAAATCCTCTGTTTGATATCCAAAACCCTTCATAATCTAGTCCCCATCTGTCTTTCCAATTTCCTTACACCACTGGCCTCCTGGCTGTTCCATGAATAAGACACTCTATCTCTCTGCTCTGGCAGATCCCATGTCCCTCCTTTACTCCACCTTCAGACCTCACTGGCTTCCTTTAAGTCCCACCTAAAACCCCACTTTCTATTGAACCTTCACTAACCCCTCCTAATTCCAGTGCTTTCCCTCTTTTGATTGTTTCCTATTTATCCTGTACATAGCTTAACCATTTATATTTGTTTGCATGTTGTCTCCTCCATTAGATTGTAAGCTCTTGGAGGGCAAGGAGTGTCTTTTGCCTCTTTTTGTATCCCCAGAGCTTAGAATTGTGCCTGATGCTTGGTAGGCCCTTAATAAGTGTTTACCGACTGACAGTAGCAGATAAGGATTTTAGGTTAAAACTGTTCTGGAGCAAATCATTTCAATTCTCTGGGTGTCTGTTTCCTCGAATGTAAACTGAGCTCAATGGACTATATGATTTCAAAGGTCCTCTCCATTTCTAAATCTATGATCTCATCTGGTTATCATTATGATATTTCAAATCAGTTAACTTTTTTTTTTACTACATTAAAGTCTTGCCAATTCCTTTTGCCTGTCTACTATTAGATGTCAATCTCTTGAAGCACTGGTATTATGCTTCATTTTTCCTAGCAGAGGTTGGAAGGCTCAGTCAATTAATCTACAAATATTTATTAAGCACTATGTCAGGTATGCTGCTTAGCGCTAAAAATACCAACAACAACAAAAAAAAGCAAAATTGGTCCTGTCTTCAAGGAGCTTACACTCAAATGCAAGAGATGACGTATATTATATGAGATACATACACAGTAAAGGGCAGCTGGGTGACTCTTTGGATAAAGCACCAAGCCTGGAATCAGGAAGACTTTGAGCTCAAGCTCAAATACTAGCTGTGTGACCCTGAGCCAGTCATTTAACCTTGTTTGCATCTGTAAAATGAGATAGAGAAGTATTTCTGCCAAGAAGAAAACCCCAAGGGTCACAAAGAGTCAAACACTGCTGAAATGATTGACAACACCACCACCACAAAATAAAGTATACAGAAGATAGGAATAGAATTGGACAGAACTTTAGAGACTATCTGATCCACCATTTTATAGAGGAGGAACTAGGGTCCCAAGAGGTTAAATAATTTTCCCAAATTCACATAGGTAGTAAGAGTTAGGATTTGAACTCCAGTCTATTCTGTCACACCAACTCTCAAAAACCTTAGAAATCACTTAGTCTAACTCTTTTTAGTATGAATAAATGGAGTCTGAGAGAGGTGAAGAGGCAAAGAGTACACATCTAGTCAGTCAATAAACATTTATGAAGCACCTACTATGTGCCAGGCACTAAACTAAGTGCTAAGGATACAAAGAAAGGCAAAAGACAGACTCTGCTCCCAAGGAGTTCACAGTGTAGTGGGGGAGACAACATGCAGAAAGCTACTATGTAAAAATTAGGTATACATAGGGTAAATTGGAGATAATCAACAGAGGGAAGGCCCTAGAATTAAGGGGATTCTGAAAATGCTTCTTGTTGAAGGCAGGATATTAGTGGGACTTGAAAGGAGCCAGGAGTCTGGAGACTGGAGTGTCTTGTGCGAGGAATAACAAGGTCAGTGCCACTGGATCGAAGAGTATTTGGTGTACGTGTGTGTGCAAAGTAAGATGTAAGAAGATCGGAATGGTAGCAATGGTGCAGGTTATGCAGGGCTCTGAATGCCAGACAGAGGATATTAAGGGGCAGAGCTTGCACCAAAACTCAAGTCTCTGAACTCTCAGTATGATTCTCTTCTTCTAGTCATAGCCAAATAGTGCTGTTTCAAGTCCTATCCAAATTATAAATTGGGTGGGGGAGGGAAAAACACGACAGCTGTCTTCAAGCATCTGAAAGGATGTCATGTAGAAAAGGAATTCGTTTTGTTCAGCTCGACCCTAGAAACAATGAATGGGCGGATATTTCAAAGAGGCAGAATTAGTCTTGATATAAGGAAAAACTTCCAAACGGAGGTATCCAAAAGTGGAATGAGCTTGTGTGGGAAGCAGGGAAGTTTCTCCCCACTAGAGTTCACTAAGCAGAAGCTGGATGCCCATGAGTCAGGTATGTTATGGAAAGAATTCTTGTCCAGGTAGAGGTTAGAAAAGATGGTCTTGGAGGTCCTTGACAATAATATAGATGTGTTAAGTACTGTAACAGGATCCAAGAGAACTAATAACTCCTTTCACTCTGGACACTAAATTTCTATGAATACAATCTGAGAACATATATTTTTTGGCTGATTTATATATTTTAAAAGCCTCTGATTTGGGGGGACACAGGTCTAACAAAATACAGTGATGCTCATCACCAGGAGGCAGATATTTCAGTAATGAAATGTTTGGCCTTGGCAACTCATTAAAACAAAGAAAAATACAAAATAGCTGTCAGTTCTATATACAGCCTTTGCCCTTCTACAGTGACAGTGTCAGAATAGTAGAAAAGAGGGTCAGTGGGTGCTAAGAATCACACAGTGTTTAGACCAGCTATAAACATGAATTTAACCACTGGTACTGCTCTACATGAGAGTTCCTTTTGCAATGATCAAGGAGTGGACACATCACTGGTAAAATGAAATCCTATCAATCAACATTGTTCTCACTGTTAATGAAGTCAGGGGACAAAAGTAAGTGGGAGCTAAATGGAAAGACAGTGTACAGGTTCTACTTGGAAGATACAAATAAAGGCTTTAGTGTTCATTCCAAGTCAACAAGAAACATAATTTCAAAGGACACCATGATATGATAGAGAATCATCTTCGTCTGTGCTCACTGGTATGGCAAGAAGATCCCAATGAAGATAATGGTGGTTTTTGCACCAATACAGAGGATTTCAGAGGTAGAAGAATTTGATGAAGAAATTGATGATTTTCAAAATTAAAAATTCATCTTGATAATAGATCTTATTTATTTATTTATTTTTAGGCAATTGGGGTTAAG